TGAACCTGTCAAACTTGACACGGCTAAACTTGAACACCTGTTTGAAAGCAAATCCAAAGAGATACCCGTGACTAAGGTGAGCAGAAACACCATCACAGTATAATCAAAGCTTTTTGCTCAAGTCAAATTAAGTTTTGCTCTGGGGTCTTTTTTGACTGCTCAAAAAACAAATGACTCGTATAAGCGATGCTTCAATGAATTGCTTTAAAAACAATTAATTAATAAATTTTTGTTTTGAACCAAGACAAATGAATTTACTGAATCCAGCTGTTGAACTAACATCTGACTCTTATAAGCGATGAATTAATGAATTGCACAAAAGAAAGAGAGAATGAATTCATGCATTATTAGTTTGAATCAGTCACAAATTAACTCACTGAATCCAGCTATTGAACAAAACATCTAAACATCTGCTTAAATAATTTGCTCAAAAAATGAATCAATTTGTGATTTATTGGTTTGAACCAATGACTCTTATAAGCAGTGCATTAAATGAATTGTCAGACTGCCATTTGTTGCGCTGATGATTGTATTTGTGTGTCGAACAGAAAACGGCGGCGGATGGGAAGCGGCAGGAGATCATCATTCTGGACTCCAAACGCAGCAACTCCATCAACATCGGTCTGACGGTTCTTCCACCGCCACGCACCATCAAAACCGCCATACTGAGCTTTGACGAGTATGCGCTCAACAAAGAGGGCATTGAGGTGCAGAAACACACACGTCTATTAGATTCCACATTTCAGAATGTTACATTTTGCCTTAGAATGTAACATTTTTGCCATTTTAGAATGTTACATTTTCCCATTTTAGAATGTTACATTTTGCCTTAGAATGTTACATTTTCCCATTTTAGAATGTTACATGTAGCCTTAGAATGTTAAATTTTCTATTTTTAAACTATTTTTTTATGTTACACTTTGCCATATAATGTTATAGTTTTTCCATTTTACAATGTTACATTTTGCCTTAGAATGTTACATTTTTCCCATTTTAGAATGTAATTCTAAAGGCAAAATGTAACATTCTATGGCAAAATGTAACATTCTAAAATGGGGAAAATGTAACATTCTAAGGCTAAATGTAACATTCTAAAATGGCAAAACTGTAACATTATATGGCAAAGTGTAACATTCCAAAAATGGGGAAAATGTAACATTCTAAGGCTAAATGTAACATTCTAAAATGGCAAAACTGTAACATTATATGGCAAAATGTAACATTCCAAAAATGGGGTAAATGTATTTTAGAATGTTACATTTTGCCTTAGAATGTAACATTTTTGCCATTTTAGAATGTTACATTTTGCCATAGAATGTTACATTTCTGCCATTTTAGAATGTTACATTTTTGCTATTTTGGAATGTTAAATTTTGCCTTAGAATGCTAGATTTTGCCATAGAATGTTACATTTAACCGTAGAATGTTACATTTCCCCATTTTAGAATGTTACATGTTGCTTTAGAATGTTACATTTAGCCTTAAAATGTTATATTTTGCCATAGAATGTTAAATTTGGCCCTAGAATGTCACATTTTTGACATTTTAGAATGTCACACTTTTGCCATTTTGGAATGTTACAAAGTTTCTCTCTCTGCTGTAGAAAATCCTGACGATGATTCCCACAGAGGAAGAGACGCAGAAGATCCAGGAGGCTCAGCTGGTGAATCCTGACATTCCGCTGGGCAGCGCGGAGCAGTTCCTGCTGACGCTGTCCTCCATCAGCGAGCTCTCAGCACGCCTGCAACTCTGGGCCTTCAAACTTGACTATGAAGCCACCGAGAAGGTGAGTGAGCGCTTGAGTCTCTAACGCTCACCAGAGCTGCATTTATTTGATCAAAAATACAGTAAAAACAGTGAAATGTGTGAATCTCTGTTAAACTGTAATGTATTTCTGTGATGCGCAGCTGTATTTTCAGCATCATTCCTCCAGTCTTCAGTGCCACATGATCTTCAGAAATCAGTATAATATGCTGATCTGCTGCTCAAGAAACATTTCTGATTATTATTAATGTTGAAAACAGTCGTGCTGCACAATATTTTGTGGAAACTGTGATGCATTTTATTTTTCAGGATTCACAGATTAAAAGAAAGTTCAAAAGAGCAACATTTATTTGAAATAGAAATCTTTTGTAACATTATAAATGAGTTTACTGGCACTTTTAATCAATGTAATGCATCATTAATAACCCTTTTTAACAGCATTGTATCTGTCAGTACACACAACTGTGTTTTTCAATATATTAAAAAAATTTACAAAATTAATGAATTAAAGTTAAATGCAGGGTTATTATAGTTAACTCAAACTAAAACCATAAAAATGTATATTTTTGTTACTTAAAATAAAATACATTTTAACTTGAATAAAATATTTTTTAAAAACATTGAACTTTTTAATTTTCACTTTTAAATAAATGTTTTACTTTTATTTTAGCTAGTTGGCAAGGAAACATTCCTCTAAACTTGATTTACTAAAATAAATAAAACTGAAATAAAAATTAATAAAAACTTTAAAACAAAAAAATTACAAAAGCATGCTACAAAAGGACTAAAACTTTTACATTAAAACAAAATATAAAAAAAATAAAATCCAAAATATTAATAGAAACTTTAGTAGTGTAATAAATTACACTGATTACACATATAAGACGTATGAAGAGCACGGCATGAACAAACACACAGATCAATGTTTTGACGTGTTACACTTACATTAGTACTAATATAAGTCTCCGCTGACGTGACGTTTACCTGCAGAGCTGAACCGTTCCTGAAGACGGTCAGAGGCCTGTAAACACAGAACATTCCCATCTTTCTCTCTCTCTGTGAAGTTTCCAGCATTCCTCAGGTTGTCGTGTTTTATCTTTCCTCTGACGCAGGAGATGTTTTCAGTCGTCCTGATGGAGGGGAACATCGTGTGCTACAAACAAAAGACTCAATAACCTGAAACACATTTGTTTTCTCCTCCATCTAAGATCCTGAAGACACAGGGAATGTGGTTTTTCACAGATCTGTACCTGCTGCAATTCATTCATTTAAAAAATTTTATTTCAGTTTTCACCCAAGGCACCATTTCTCATTTTAATGCATTTTAACCTGATGTGCTAAAATAACTCAAACTGAAGCTTAAATAAAAATTAATAAAAGCTGTATAGACATTAAAAAACATAAATAATAAAAATGACAAACACACACAACAAAATTACTAAACTTTAACTGAAAAGCATAAAAACTTGAAATAAACTTTATCTGAAATGAAATATTTAAAAAATGATTTCAACAATCTTATTTAATTTCAACTAGTTGCCAAGGAAACATTTCTCATTTTTGATGAACTACAAAGAACTAAAACTAAAATAATGTTAATAAAAACTATATAGACAAAAAATAATAAAAATGACAAAAAATGTAACTAAAATTTAAAAAGTATGGAAACCTTCATTACTTGAAATAAACTTTATATGAAATAAAATTAAAACATTCTCAATTCCATTTAGTTTAACTTGATGTACTATATAATTATAACTAAAACTGAAAAAATAAAAATAAAATAAAAACCACATAGACATATTACAAAAAAAAACACAATCTAGTAAAAATGACAAAACGAACAGAAAATCTAAATGTAAAAACTGATTCAAACTTTTAATAAAACGAATAGAAGCTCTAAATGACGGCGTTCATCGTGCAGTGTTTCCGGTTTGACAGGAAGTGGCCGAGCCGCTACAGGACCTGAAGGAGGGCATGGATCAGCTGGAGAAGAACAAAACGCTGCGCTTCATCTTATCGACTCTGCTGGCGATTGGAAACCTCCTGAACGGCTCCAACGTGAGATTTCAGCACTGAAATGTGTTATTGATTTACTCAGTCTGTGCTTTATAGACAGTGATTGTTTGCGCAGGCCAAAGGCTTCGATCTGACGTATCTGGAGAAGGTTCCTGAAGTGAAGGACACGGTTCATAAGCAGTCGCTCCTGCATCACGTCTGCAGTGTCGTGGTGGAGAACTTCCCCGACGGCACAGACCTGTACTCTGAGATCGGCGCCGTCACGCGCTCCGCTAAGGTAACACACGCACCGCACACGCGTGTTCTGGTGCTGTTGTGCATGAACGTGTTTAGAGAGACAGCCGTGAAGTGCAGGGTTATTAGCGCTAACTAAAACTACAACCATTTAAAAAAATGGTGTTATTTGAAATAAAATAAACGTTAACTGAAATAAAATTATATATACAAAAACTTAAACGTTCATAAAATGCATTTACATTTGGTGATTTAGCAGATGCTTTAATCCAAAGCGACTTGTGAATTAAGAATAAAAATTATTAAATAAAATAAAAAGTCATCAAATAAAAATGGAAATTAATCAAAACTATTTAGACATATTTTTAAAAAATGTATAAAGATTAAAAAACGAATACAAATGAGAAAAAACTTGCAAATGTGGAATAAAAATATATTAAATACAAATTAATAAAATGAAAATAAAAGGCAATAATAAAACTGTATAAGCATACTGTATATTCGCCATCGAATGTTACATTTCTGCTATTCTGGAATGTTACAATCTAAACAAATCTAACACACATGAGAAGAACTTGCAAAAAAGGAATGAAAAATTATGAAATAAAATAAAAATTACTAAAAACTCTATAGACTTAGAAAAAAAAAAAAGACAAAAACACTTGAATTAAAAAAAATTATAATAATAAAAAAATATATATCTATAAAGAGCTCAATCAAAATATTACCAACTGTAATAATAAAGTATAACAGTACATGAATGCAGCTGAAGTAACGCCGGTCCGCAGGTGGACTTCGACCAGCTGCAGGAGACTCTGGCTCAGATGGAGTGGCGCTGCAAAGCATCATGGGACCACCTGAAAGTCATCGCAAAGCACGAGATGAAGCCGGCGCTGAAGCAGAAGATGTCGGACTTCCTGAAGGACTGCGCCGAGAGAATCATCATCCTCAAAACTGTCCACCGCAGGATCATGAGCAGGTGACGAGTCAGAGCTCCCGCTGTTACACTTACAAACATCTGTTACATTTGATCCGTGTGTTAATGACAGGAGTGCTGGCTCAGTGGGAGCGGGTTGTAATCGTGTTTGTGTGGCAGGTTTCACTGGTTTCTGCTGTTCCTGGGTCAGCCGGCGTACAGCGCTCGTGAGGTCAGCGTGACTCGGTTCAGTAAGCTCCTCAGTGAGTTCGCTCTGGAGTACCGCACCACTCGCGAGCGCGTCCTGCAGCAGAGACAGAAGCGCGCCGATCACAGAGAGAGGAACAAGACGCGAGGGAAGATGATCACAGACCTCAGCACACAGGTGAGATACACACGCATGCACACAAATACACCGTGGGTTTTATTAGGATTCTTTGCTTGTTACTATGATTTAGCTTTATTCTACATTTATATTCATTTTTGTAAGTGTTTTATTTTGATTGTTTTAAAAAAAAAATTATTTGACATTTTTATGGATTTAATAATTAATTTTTTTATATTTTATTTTGATTGTTTTTATTTTTAAAAGATTTATTTTAATTTGACATTTTTATGATTTAGAATTTTTAGTATTTTATTTTGATTGATTTGTAATGGTTTATTTTATTTATTTTAATTAATTTTTAGTAAGTGTTCTATTTGGATTTTTTAGTGATTTATTTTCATTTTACATTTTTATGATTTTGATTTGTTTTAGTATTTTATTTTGATTGTTTTTGTTTTTAAATTATAATTTTTTTTATTTTACATTATTATAATTTGAATACATTTTTATTATTCTATTTTAATTATTTATTTTGAAATGTTTCATTTTTCATTTTTGTGATTTTAATAGATTTTGTTTTATTTTTATTGATTTTATTTTAAAATGATTAATTTTAATTTTATATTTCCTATGATTTTAATATTTTTTTTGTATTTTATTTTGTTTGTTTTTCAAAAAAAAATATTACATTTGTATGATTTAAATTTTGAGTGATTTTAAAAAGATTTATTTGTATGATTTTTGTATGAATTTACATTTTGTGATTTAAATACATTTAAATACATTTTTATGATTTTAATTAATGTTTAATAAATGTTCTTTTTGATTGTTTTTATTTTAAAATCATTTCTTTTAATTTATACATTTTTATGATGGCAAAACGCTATCCTAAACTAACCCACCCTTTCACTTTTCTTTAGTGTGTTAAATGCACAAGCAGCGATCCTGATGCGACAGTGTAAAGAGGAACATGATCGCTGCGTAACAGCTCAAATGTGTTTTCACACTTTTAATGCCAGTTAGCTTTAATGTTCCCTGCAGGCCTGAAGAATCGCTTTTTAATGGTGGAGACACTGTGTGCTGAAATCCCAAATGAGATATGGCTTAACCTAACTTCACTTGAGCAAGTTTACAGCTGTTTAAAGACTGAAATAACAATCACGAGTCGTCACATGGAGAAACAGCGCCATCTTTAGGAGCAGATCTTTTGTATTCTGATGAGAGGAGAAAAAGGGCATGAAGTGTTCTGAATCCCCTCAGTGTGCTTTGAGAGGTCACATACAGGACCTTATTGAGAGCAGTCTGTGTTGTGAGGGCATGGCTGTTTTAATTATTCTCTAACGAGTCGGATTGTTCACTTTATTTTATCTCATGACACTGCTGTGATTTTATTCTCGCACCGAGAATCAACGGGACTAGAATTTTTATCATTCAGTGATGTGGGCGGAGCTAGAGTTGTTATCATTCCATGATGTGGGTGGAGCTAAAGTTATTATTCAGTGATGTGGGCGGAGCTAGAGTTATTATTCAGTTATGTGGGCGGGACCAGAGTAGTTATTATTCAGTGATGTGGGCAGAGTTAGAGTTATTATTCAGTGATGTGGGCGGGACCAGAGTTATTATTCAGTCATGTGGGCAGAGTTAGAGTTATTATTCAGTGATGTGGGCGGGACCAGAGTTGGTATTATTCAGTGATGTGGGCGGGACCAGAGTTATTATTCAGTCATATGGGCAGAGTTAGAGTTATTATTCAGTCATGTGGGCGGGACCAGAGTTGGTATTATTCAGTGATGTGGGCGGGACCAGAGTTATTATTCAGT